CAATTTATCAATGATTACATAGTAATATACAAAGTTTTATAACCTCACCAAATAGTAAGTAGCGTGCATTATAAATATACACAACATGAACTACTTCTTTAATTATACACAACATTTTCTATTTCAATTTTCGTCCACCTGTCATCGTTTGTAATGTAACTTTTTAGCGCTTGACGATTGGTTACTCTTGATACAACCGCATAAAGTGAGTAATGACTAAAAATATGGGTTTTCAACAACAAATCAACACGCGAGAACGATTGTCTCTAACTTTTATTTACAATCATGACATAATAAGTTTTTTTTAGGGAATGACATAATAAGTTATATTTGAATAACTTCACACTCAAAATTGGAATGGCAACCTGACACCTGAAAGTGTTAAGAAATGTTGGCAAAATAACACATTCTATCATGCGGTAACCCCTGATGAAATCCTTCATTGTAGTCAAATGTTTTGCTGGTAAATATTCTTCCATTTTCTGAGGTTTATATTTTTTTTTGGCCGGTGTTAATCCACCGTATGGTGGGGTAAGGGCCGGGGAGTTTTTTTTCTAAGGTTTATATAAATTATATATATTGATTGAAAGTAAATTGTTTGTAATGACTAAAGATGACTTTAATTGGACTGAAATCTTATGGTCTGGTCTGATCTGGTTTGAGACTGAAATAAATATAAGTAAAAACATCTCAAGTAAGAGAGTGATTATGCATTTATACGAATTGCCTTCCTTAGACGAATTGCCCGACTAAACTGGCAAATCGGGGGTGCAAATGTATAAAAGTGTGTTATATCATTCTTAATCGGGCGTCTATCGTAAAAAAGAACGTTTTATTATCCCTGTTCCATTTCCCTTAAGCATTGTGCCAAACTTTATTGTAACAAACATTTCAAAACAAATGGAGTATATATAAAAGACTTTCCATAGAATTATCTGAAGAGAATGTTTATTTAAATTAATATAACCATTCATTGACCTTACAAATTAAAATTTTACAAATTAATTAAAACTATCAATGACCACCCCCTTACCCGCACTTCTCAACTTTAATGGCAAATATTGGGATCCACAAAATACACATTTTCATTAAAATATGATATAGGCTATTAACAAAACAACTTGATCGAATCACTTACTTTAAATACATTAAAACTAATTATTCTGAATACAATAAAAATTAGTGGAAATAAACGGATCATAAAAATTATGGGCATTGAATACCTACACATATTAAACAAAAAATTATGGGCATTGAATACCTACAAATAATAGAAAATTAAATATAACCTCATTTTTTGTTATTATCACATAATTAAGCGCGCTATATCAAATTTACCTTTTTGGGAAACAACTAGGCTGATAAGCCGAAAAATAGGACACGAAACAGGCTCGCTCTTAATTTCCAACTGAACATTTTATTAAATCCCAAATTATTAATATAGAGCCCGTTTGGTAGCACGAAAATCGGTCGATTTGGATGATTCTGCTGAAACTTATGAAGTTCTGACTAAAGTAGCTGCCATTGGTTGATTCTGCTGATTTAAGAAAAAATATTTTTAAAATATATTTTATTAATAAAATAAAGAAAAAAAATTATATGTAAAAATAGCTAAAATGGTCATCTACAGTAACTTCAACCAATACAGCCAGAAAAGTAACTTCAACGTTACTTTTTCTGCTTATTACACAATTCAGCGCGCAAAAGCAAAAGTTACGTGTTTGGTGAAAAAATTGGCTGATAAGCGTGATAAGACGAAAAAACCCGTGGTTCCAAACGGCCTCATAATCTACATCAACCCAATATTTTCCATTTTTATGGCCCGGGCCAATTTAATTAAACTCTAATCTATACTCACATATAATCTAAAAAGTAATTTGAACATATAAATAACTTTAAGAATTTGAGCTTTGTACAATTTTACGTGCACTTAGGAGAACAGAAAAGTGGTTAGAAGTAATTAATAGGAGTATGAAAATGAGAGACTATTTGGTAAATTGGTTGAATTGACCGATTCTATTGAAATTTATGAACTTTGGTTAAACTGATTGGCTGATTTTTTTGATATATGCAAACAGAATATTTAAAATACTGTTTATTAATAAAATAAAGAAAAAGTTAAATTAAAATAGCTAAAGTGATACCCTAAAGTAACTTCAATCAATGTAGCAAAAAAAATTACAACTTTACTTATTTTGATTATTTGAAATCGAAATTTGATTGTTTAGTGAAAAAATTGACAGATCAAATTAATAAAATGAAAAATAGGACTATCAAATCGGTTCAAAGTTTTGATATTTTGAATTGGATGACTTAAATAATGTTGGGTGTGTTTTGGAAAATAAAGAAAATTAATTAAAATAAATTAATTAAATAAAATGACTAGAGAAAAACAAGAAAGGAGATGAAGCAGAATTAGTCAAAGCTCGTGTTACGCACGATGTCCTTAAAACGTATTTGTTGTCTCCCACGGTGCTAGGAGCGTTGCAACAATCGTTTCCCAGGATACGATGACTACAAACTAGTGTTTGAGCACACAAACAAGAGTTACAGCGAACGAGAACACAGTATGAACACTTAGGGAATTTTCAGATTGCTAGCAGTGTGTTTTAGAGGAGCAAAGCGTGCATGGAGTGTATGAAGTCGTGTGTTGTTGCAAATCACCTGCCAGCCATTATATAGGAGGATTTGTTTTGTGTAAATGGTGAATTAATGGACCTGAACGTTGGACATCAATGACCAATCCGTTGGGCATTGAATCGTCCATTTAACGCTGCATTAAAAGATAAGAACGTTGGACATTTATTGTTGTAACAGTTCAGATGCGCGACAGAAGACCTCCACCAGAACACCCCGGGAGGGGTTCTGTTCTGAGGCCAACAGAAGACCCCAAGAGGGGTCCTGTTCCGAGGCCAACAGAAGACCCCAAGAGGGGTCCTGTTCCGAGGCCAACAGAAGACCCCAAGAGGGGTTCTGTCACGAGGCCACGTTTCGGTTTCTTCCTGAAACGTTTAATTTTTTCCCACCGGCAGAAGTGCTCGAACAGAAGCCTACGGAACAGAACACCTTGTTGGTATTTTGTTGGCCAATTAAGAATGATATAACACACTTTTATATAGATCTAAAAGAAGTATTATTTGTTAAAGAGACTTCAAGATTTTAGTTTTGATATATGATTACATACTAACACTAATCTGCAATGAATATTTGTGTGCATGTAATTTATGAGTCGGAAATCGTTGAAACCACACTGTCATTCACGGTTTGAGGTTTGTTTGGATCTGAAAGGATCGAGGTATTTATGATCTATGTTTTGTTTATTTCAGTTTTTAGTATGATAAACTTTATATTTGATATGTGAGTGTATGTTATTACTTATCTTAAAAATATTTTCGTGTACGTGTTATTGTTGAGTCGGAAATCATAGAGGACAGACCATCCTTCATCGATTGGCATTTCTTTCTATATGAAAGAATTTTGAGAATAAAGTTACTGTACGTCTGTACTTGACGTAATCTCTAATTACATGAATTCTGCATCCTTAAAATCCATAAAAACACAACCTTCAATTTCCTAAACAGCCTAAATATGTCGTAATGAACTGATCTGGAATTTGAGTGTAGATACTGAACACTATAGATTCCTGAAACATTAGTTTGAAAATACAATTGCACCACCAAAAATTGAATCAGGGTTAGGAATGAAAGTGTAGCAATACCTGATGTCCATTGAAAATGTGTTGCGCTTGTAAATCGGCAATTCAAACCCATGAGTATGTCGTCCTTTTATAGCAAAAAATGGCATGGGTATCCATGAGGCATGGATACCCACATCCACCCACATATTTAATTGGTGAATTGCCTAATACACCACTTGAGAAATAGATTTCCTAAAAAAATCTGCTATAGATGATATCCAATCTTCACAATTGTGCTCACCTCTAGATCAACCAATAGAAAGATAGCTTTCCTATAAAACTGATACGTGTAGAAGATATCCAATCTTCAACACTATGCACACCTCCCCATTAACCAATAGAAATAACTTTAAAACTTTTAGCATACATTGTGAACATGGGATTTAAAAAAATGACACAGTGTCACCCATTCCCTAGCGTAAATGGTCATCCGAACTTTAAACTGCTCAACAACTCTTTTTAGATTTATTTTTTTAATAGGAAATACGTAGTAAATGATTTACTTGATGTTGACCTTTCTTGGCGGGAACACTATTCCTAAAATTCTTTTGCTTTTATATATTACTCCGTAATAGATATGAAACTTTTGCATCATATCCTTGTAAATTTGTAATATTTTAACTCGTTATATTAATGTGCGCATATCGTTCAAGTATTGAATTTGAACCATAATTTACGACATAGTTTGAACCATAATCAATAAATGTCAAGTGCAAAAGTACGATTTATTTGTAAAATGCATAAACATTTGCATCGTTTAAAGAATTAAATAACGATTCAAAGAAATGAAGTTAATAATTACTGTTAGAAATCAATAAGAAAATAACATATCAGTGTCTCATAACTCAGCTAAACAATATATATTTCCATAAAAATCAAAATGCTTAGAGATGCCCGAGTATTGTAAAATGAAGAACACGAATGAATTGCATGTGTTAAAGAATTACTACGTAATAAAGTATAGAATACTGTCAAGATTCTGCTCAACTATGTGGCCAGACTCGCAATTACACAAGTGATAAATATTTTACTTTTTTATATAATTAATGAATGGTGTGTTTTAATGTTAAAGAATTTCTCTTTGTTTTGACAAAAAAAAAATGTTAAAGAATTTCTCTTGGGGAAAAAATGAGTATATAAACGAAGCATTATCCTTTCCACGCTGATGAGCTGGTTTCAAGTTCATAATAGAATTATATCCCACTCCACATCTCATATGGTACCATGAGTTGCTGTTGTGTAGTGGTTATCACGTTAGTTTTACACACTAAAGGTCCCCAGTTCAATCCTGGGCAGCAACAATACTTCTCTTTTTTTATTGTTTTGACTTTAGAAAACGTTAGCAAATACCAAGTTCCTACTCATATATTGTTTTATTACTGGTTGGCTTTCTGTTTAGACATAATGAGACCTTAGCTTCTGTAACGAGGATTTTTCTTGTATCTGGAAAAAAGAGGCCTCGGAATCATGTATAATATAACATACAAACATTATCAATATCACTTGGGTATTATTCCGGCGGAAAATCGATATACATTCTATAGGCACTTCTCTCAGCAGAATAATAGCCTTCAACAAGTGTATCCACACGGAAACCAAGTTTCTCGTATAGCTTCACTGCTGGAACTCTTGAGGGATCGACATGGAGAGACACGCGCTGAACATTTCTCCTTCTGCACTTTTGAATTGCTTCCTTAAGTAATGCTTCTCCAAAGCCTCCCCTCCTATACTTCTCCTTCACTGATGTTTGTTTCCATGCCATGCATATGAAAAAAAATACACAAGGGTCACACCAAGTTTGTTTCTTTTTTTTATATATCTAGTGCACAACTTTGAATTAAGTAAGGTAGGCCTATTGAAATCATGAATTGTAGCTATGCTTTTATATTCATTTGTTGGTTTAACTGAACTTAGCATAGCTTGTTGGAGACACTTTTTAAAAAAAAAATATTACAACTACTGAACTATATAACTAAACTGGATTTCGTTGTTGAAAAGGGCTCGCTTTTTAAAAAATATTTTTGGGACAGATCAATAGTGGTGTTAAACTCGTCATTAAAGCCCACTACATTATTAAGCAAGTTATTGACTATGTCTTGAGGTTTGATAGTATTGAACAGCGAGGGGCCTAGGACTAAGCGCTAGCTTATGTGTTTTATACTTTATTAGAACCATAAAATAGATCCATAGTTCTATAGGATTATAGTTTGGAGAGTAGAGATGGCGTTCCCGGGTGATAGGATAAACTTTAAATTGCTAATCATGAAAAAAACACTGATGCTTTTAAGGTATGCCTGGATCCCGGATAATGCAAGGGAAAGGTGGAAAGGGATATGGAAAGTTATTTTCTTGTGTTGAGTTTTACCCAAAATTGCAAAGGAAAATGAAAGATGATTAATGTTAAAAAAAATTACATGCTTATTAGGTATCTTAGTGTGTGTGTGTATAATAGAAATAGATGACTAAAACGAGTTTAAGCAAATGTATACTCCGTATAAAAAATACTTTGGTAGGAAATTGGGGCAGATGTTCTGCATTCCCACATATTTTCATTCCTTAATAAATTGCTTATATTTTGCTCCCTACCATTATTTTCCAAATGTTACACCATTAGAATTCGTACTTCACACTATAACACATGAACCAAAGTGTGCAGGGGCGGAACCAGCCTAGTGCCCGGAGGTGCTCGTGCCCCTGCAATGATTTTTTTAATAATATATGTGTGTGTTAATATTTACTAGTAATTAGTTGAGCCCCTCCATCTCAATCCCAAAAACCCTTTACCTTAGCCCTTTTCCTTATGCCAGCCCAATCCCAAAAACCCTTCCTTGGGGCAGCCCGCAGCCCAACTCCACAAAAGCCAAAACGCCAAGACACCAAGTCCCAACTCAAGTGGTCAAGCCCATGCCCTGTGTAACAAAGTTCAAGCTACAACGACGGAAACTGAAAGCGAGTCAGCGTTCAAGGCTTCAAGCTACTGCATTCAAGCTACAACGCCAGCAAATCACGACAGTGAGTCAGCGAGTAGGAACTAGAATAGCGAATAGCGACTGCGTCTCTAGACTCCTGGACGGCTGGACTCCTGGTAAGCCTTTTAATGCCTTAACCTAATTATTTTTCTGATAATTTCATTTTAAAAAATTTATTTATTGAATTGTATTTGTTTAATTCAAATAAAATGTTAATGGTTGAATACTTTTATTTGTTGAATTCAAATACAGTGTTGAAAGTTTTGGCAATTATGTTATGATAACTGATCATCTCATTAAAATGTTAATTATATTGTAAATTTATAATTATGTATTTATTGATTTAGTTAATGTGGTTAATTTGTTATAATGTAATTTATACAATTATACTCATATTATTTCAATTGTAATTGGCCTAGGTTGTTTGACAAAATATCGATATGTTACGATATTATACACTGAAACCTAAACAACCAAGCATTGGTGGTTCTTTATCGAATAATTTAGTTTCATCAGATAGTGTCATTCCTAACAATGACAATAATGTTTAAAAAGCTCGAATAGAAGTTGAATTGTCCGATGATGACATTGTTGGTGATTTGCGCAACAAGATGGGAGAAGAATACTTGATAGATTGATTGATGTGTTACATTGAGAAATATGTATTTGTTAAAATTGAGAATGAAGACATTATGAAGCGATTTCAGAGTATGGCACCTCGAAGACAAAGATTGCCGCCTCTCAATGAATGTCCTTCATTTGACACGTCAGGTTCTAATAAAATTAAGGTACTCTTTAAGTAGTTGTTTTATTTAAATTTTATAGTTTTGTTTATTGTTATATTGGTGATGCATATTTTTTTTTAGAGTAGTACGTAGTATATGATTTCTTTGGTATTGTGCCCCTGCGAGTCACGAGTCCTGGTTCCGCCACTGAAAGTGTGTACAAGTTTTTGGAATTAATTTTACCTTTCTCAAGTGTAATATAGGAAGCATTCTTAAAGAGCCTCTATCCTTTAAAAACCATTCAGCCCCAACACACAAAGACAATCTAATGAATGAATATATCACTTCTATCTTTCTCCCCAGTTTGGGAAAACCCGAAGAAAGAAAATCCAGAACTGTGACAATTAGGTTATGCAAAAACAGAGTTGAGCACAGCCAAACCTGCTAATTTGGTGATGCAACCAAAAAGGGAAGAGGGCCAAGAATACATGACATATCCAGCAACTTCTCCCTCTCCATCCACCATGTATAGCAGGCCGCCATTCTTCTTACTAAGTTCTTCATCGAACGATTGGGCCAGAGATTCGTGTTTTGGGAAGACCCTTTTCTCTATTCTTACTATTTCGTCAACGACTTTGCCCCATTTGGATGAATTTCTCTGCAGTTCAACTATGGCTCCGGGAACAGCCGCCATGTTACCTCGCCGGTGAGGAAGCGGGCTGCTGAGGAAATTAACAGCTTTACCCAAGCAGGCCCGTATTGGGCTAACCGCAACCATTGGATAACCTTATTTCAGCGTTTCACAAAAAAAAAAATACTTCCTCCGTTCTTTTTAATTGAAACAGTCAACATTTCACGTTTGTCAATGCACGAGTTTGACCATTAATATCTTATAATCCTTATTAGTAAAAAAATTCAAAAAATCATATTTTGAAATTTTAGAATGAGAAGAATTTAACAATATTTTTTAAAAATTAAATTCGTAATACATTAATAATAAATAAAGTATAGTCAAAGTAGAATATGTGAATAGTGCAAAAAGTCTTACGTTGCAATTAAAACAGAACGGAGGTAGTAATAATAATAATAATAAAGAAAATTTAAAAAAAAAACTCCGAGGTCCTCCCATGCATGTACTTCTTTCGTAATTTCATGTGATCATCTTTTCAATTCGTCCCAAGGTTGTTTTATATCAAAATTTGTGTGACTCTAAATTAATTTTTTTTATCATGTAATATCAACAACATAAATTCACCTTTTAATAATTGGGTTACCTCTTCATGTCGCAATACTAATGAACGAAGGTAGTAGTATTTAGAGTAGGGCTGGGTCGGAGAAACCAAAAACCGAATCGAAAAAACCCGAGTCGCAACCAAAACAACCGAACTGCAAGAAAACCGAAACCGAACTCAAAAAATCGAACCGAACCGTTGTTGTTTGGTTTCGGTTTCGTTTTTCACATCTCAAAACCGAACCGAACCGAACCGAATAAACCAAACCTTTTAAAACTAGTTATTTTATTTATTAATCATTAATTATAATATTTTGTTTAGTTCTTAATTCTTAATTCTAGAAAATTAATGTTTGATACTAGATTTATTATGATTTGAAAGATATTAATATTTAATATTTATTGTTTAATTAAGTGAAATACTTGTACATACACTTAGTCTATTTCTATAATACTATTATGTTGATATTTTAAAGTCGTAACTTACATTTTGCTTGTCGTTGCGTGACGATGATATTTTGTTGATATATTATATGTTATGTATATATGTTTGTTATCACATAGTTTTTTACATTGAACAAATATGTGTTATGTAAACTATACTTTAAACAACATCGCAAAAAACGTGAAACTTTAGAGCATAAATATTTTTGTGTAAAAACAAAGTAGAATACGTTATTTACTAATAAAATTTTGCGAATACACTGTTTATAAGTCACATATAAACTCAAACATTTAATTAATTAGGAAATGTTTAAATTGGTATACACGTACTATCTAATTCATTGTTTCGAAGTGTTTTTGTTTCTTTTTTTAAAATTATGTAGGTTTTTGTAGTGTATAACTATTAATACCAGTTTGATATAGTTTATTTATTTTGTTTTTGTTTTCTAATTACTATTTTTCTAATCAACAAAAATATATTGGTAAAAACCGAAAAATCGAAACCGGACCAAAATAAACCGAACCGAACAAACCATGGTTTCAAAATTTTGAACATAAAACCAAACCGAACTTTTAACTTTGGTTCGACATTTGGTTTTAGGTGAAAACCGAACCGTTTAAACCGAACCCACCCCTAATTTAGAGGTGTCAAAGTGAGTACATGACACCAATGAGCGGGAATTAGAGCAACTCCAATGCAAGGGTGTGGTCTCTTACACACCCTTACGCATTGGTCCCATTTTTTTATCTCACAATTTTTATGTGTAGGACCCACATATTTCCTAATTTATTTTCATTTTCATTTTTTTATATCACTTTTAATCCACTTTTTATCAATTTTTCCTCCTCGAATTCCGTGTAAAGTCCATATATGGACCTTGTCATAGACCTTGGTCCATTTTTACTTCTACCTCTCTCCTCTTTTTCATTTTTCCCTACACACCACTTCATCCAAATGTTTATTCTATCTCTATCTCTCTCATATGCCACATCAGCTCCAATGCACCCTCCCATTGGAGATGCTCTTAGGGTGTCAAATGAAAACAAGGGGCTGCACATGAAAGAAAAAGAAGTTAGTCTATATTAGGCTAACCAGTAACTCCAACCCTAGTAAAGCCATATTTCGGCTTTTCAACAACAACAAAAAAACTTAGATGTTTTGACCTGGATTGTTTTCAGTTGCAGACCAGACCAGACCAGATTTAAACAGACTAGTTCAAATCAGACCAGACTTTCATAGTTATAAAATACACAGAGATCAGAATTTACCAGATCAGTTCTGATCAGACCAAATCAGATCAGACTTAAACAGACCAAACCAGACCGGACCAAACCAGTAAATTTCGGTCCAAGTAAAAACACTGTTAGTCCCTTCGCTCTGTTGCAATTATGTCACCTTTTCTCTTTTCTTTACCATCTGTTCCATAAAAATTGTCTCATAACAAATTTGGTAAAACTAGTGTGGCTCTAAATGATTTTACTTTATTCTTACTTTATCAATATAATATCAACTACCTAAATTCTTTTCTTAATAATTGTGTCACCTTCTCATGTCGCAATATTAGTGGGACGGAAGTAGAGATATTTAGATGTGCCAAAGCGAGTGTCACGCCCCGGACCTATCCGGACACGTCAACAATCCGCCGTACAGTACGAATAGTCAACCGCAGTCCAACACATCCATACTATACAAGGCGTCTGGGATATCATTCACACATAGTACATCCATAAACAACATAATGTAAAATATTCATTTAAAGCAACGGAAACATTTAGTACAAGTGTTCATGCCACACTTTGGCAAACATGGGCATACAAGCCCCAAATAATTATTCAAAAATATAATATCCATGAGCATTAACATAATTGTTTCTAAAACGGAAATGGAGGAAGCACGAACCCCGTCTTCTTCCCTTGATCTTCCCGAAGCAATTGGGCGATAGTAGCAACCTTCAAGTTCTACTTGAAACTGTGAGGTGGCCTCCCTCGTGAAGGGGAGGTCAGTACTTGGAAGCATTTGACAAGTACAATGGATATGACAACTATACTAAGTATAATCAAAGTTTCAATTTCCAAGACCCTCAAACTAGGGTGTTATCATATCATGGTTAACTTTGTTCGTTTAGTGTCAATTCATCGTTATTTACCACGGTCTAGAGCCCAGCTCATAATCACCGTTATCTACTACGGTCTAGAGCCCAGCTCAATAATCACCGTTATCTACTACGGTCTAGAGCCCAGCTCAATAATCACTGTTACCTACTACGGTCTAGAGCCCAACTCAATAATCACCGTCATCTACATCGGTCTAGAGCCCAGCTCAATAATCACCGTCATCTACATCGGTCTAAAGCCCAGCTCAATAATCACCGATATCTACTACGGTCTAGAGCCCAGCTCAATAATCACCGTTATCTACATCGGTCTAGAGCCCAGCTCAATAATCACCGATTCTTTACAATTCAATTTCTTAGGATCCATTCATCCATTATCCAACTACAATTCCAACTAATATTTCAATACTAGTTATTTACTCATTTCAATATAATTCTTCATTCATGTGTAATTTGGCCTTAATATCAAAATATCACTTTTATACTTTCATGGCTTCTTCTCATGAAATAAAAGCATACTTATCACAATGGGATTCATGGTTGATTCAACTATCATGCCATCATATTCATAACATATGCACATACACAATTTATTCATAAATTTGTATATTATGCAAACTATACTTATAATCAATAGTAATTTCATTTAGGCATTTTTAATCACTAATAATCCATGCAAATAACATTTTGTATTCATTTAGGAAATCTCATGAAATTAACCCAAAGATTATAAGTAATATAGTCGGTCATCCTCACCTTAAGTGAGCTTAAGCGCGTTCTACGCTTCCCGATTGAACTTTGACTAATTCCGGCGAACTTTGACCAACTCCGGCGAACTTTGACCAACTCCGGAGAAACTCCAGCGAAGCTCAAAAATACTTTAATCAAGTTCCTAACAAGGTTTTAACATCATAAAACCTTAATCAATACAAATAACCTCTAAAAGGTTATTTTCCGGTGAACTTGTCGGTTTGGCTCCTAAGTCCGTTTTTGGACTTAGAACCACCTTCCAACCCACCATTCCACACTCATAACATGTGAAACATTCCCAAGGGTTCTTCATGTGATATATAACTCATATGATAATTAAGGGATAGAAGAGAAGTTATTATAAGGTCATTACCTTAATCCACCTAGTTTTTCCTCCTAAAAACCTTTCCTGGCCTTGGACCTCCTTGAGCTTGGGCTTGTGCTTGGCTATGGAGGGTGCTATTTTCTGGGATTTCCTTCTTCTCTTGAGAGTATGGCCGAGTGGATGAAGGAGGAAAGAGGTGGGTGTCTCTTTTGTCTCAATAGTATGAGTGGTGTGGGAGAGGCCCACCTTAAATTTGTTTGATTCTTTTCCATTCACCTCCCACTCCCTCCCATACCCCTCCAGCCAACCAAGCCTCCTAATGGAGTGTCCAAATTCGTGGGTTGGCCCCCACCCATGTGGGAGGTCAACTCTTTTTGTCCAAAAGTGTACAATTTGTCCTGAAAGTTGTATTTTTCGGACTGTTTTAAATATAATTTATTTTATCGGGTCAAATAAAATATACTGTGTTCTTAGTCATCATGACATCTAGAGTGAATATACATTCCCCAACTTTAATTTATAAGTCTTCAAAATTCAATTTCGGGCTTTTATCGGTTAAATTACCAATATCGATATTTGGGCTTCTTTTGACCAATCGGTCAACTCTGGACCTTTCCATGGTTCAAATGAAGTACCCACCACTATATAAATATTATCTTGTCCAAGATAAATAACATATATGGTTTCGGGAATTTCGGGCGGCCCCCGCTTCTGGTGTGGGCCCCACGTGCGAATTTACTATTCACGCAAAAGTATTAATAAAAGTTCACAACTTCGCATACTCATTAACCATTCCACAAGGTTCAATACATTATTCAATTAAAAGTAAATACATTTGGAGACGGTGTTACAACGAGTACATGGCACCCATGAGTGGGAATTAGGGTGTCAAGGATAAAGAAGCGAGTCCATATAGATAAAAAAAATCCCAA